AGTAACCAACAATGGATGTAAAGCCCGATAGACCCAACAGGGTTCGATCATTTTAACCAACACATAGATGCAGCAGTCTAGCTGTTGTGGCAACTTTGGCTTGTCTCTCTTTGCAGTATTTCTCAAAAGAATGCACTTCCGTCACCTGAATAGCTCTTTGTTTTCTCTCATTGGTGATTCAAGGTCAAGTCCGTGATCAAGCTGTTGAATTATGGCGCTTGCAAATGACATTGGAGATGTGAAGTCAAAGCCAGCAATGGAAAAACGGGAAGAAACTGTCGACAAGGCCGAAAATAAAACCCTCTCTCCAGTAGCAGCAAAGCGAAATAGCACTGATTTGTGGGCGGGCTCAATGGTGTTGGGCGGGGCCAATGCTGCATCCTAGGGCCTTAGCGCCTCGGCCTTGTCAAATCATCCCGAAAGTTGTGTACGTGCTTTCCGCTTGCGTACCGCTGCACTTTTCTCGGGAAAAGCTCAATTTCGACCAGAAATCTCGGACCTTGCCTCTAAGTGCTCGTTAACTTATGTAGCCCATCTGATTGTACTTTAACTTCGACTTTAAGGAAACGTAAAATGGTACGAGGATATGCTAGAAGGAAAGGATATGGAGGGCGAGCTGCCACCAATCGTCAATAAGGTGAGTTCGGTTCCAATGTAGAGCTTTTTATGTTTTTTACGTACGAGCTTCAGCGAGTGGAGAACGATGGAATCGTTGAACGTGATGCGTATGAAGCGCTGTGTCGTGGTGAAGCTCCACCTACACCACCGGAGGAGGAGAAGAAGCTATACTGCTACTACAAGGTGGCCGATTTCTTTGAAATTCCTCCGTAGAATAGCACAGCCCCTGTCTATTTTTTTTCTTAACATAGGTTTTGTTTCCAGATGGATAGGCCATACCTCCGGCTTGCTCCAATTAAAGTGGAGATTCTCCGGCTCGAACCTCTCGCGGTGCTTTTCAAAGAGGTTATGTCCGAGTACGAAGCCGAAGTAATCAAGGCAACGGCCACGCCGAAGGTTAGTATATCGTTCTGCACACATTCGATTAATGAAACTCTTGTAGACGGAATAGAAGCTTGAAGCAGGAAGTTGAGCGTGTTTAAATAGGTGAAGAATACCAGGCGAATTTCGCCCTGCAGGGCTTGAAGCAGCGGGATCGGAGCAGCTCTGTCTTATTCAAGGGCTTGTTCGGAAACAGCTCTCCGAAAAAATCGCTTTTCATAGTTGAGAGTGGACTCAGGTTCACTATATCACCTTTATAAGGCACTCGGACGGCTCGAGCCAGGCGTGAGGATACATAGTGTCGAGGGAAATGGCGCGCCTCGTGGTAAGCGCGACGGCCTCCCTAAGTTTTATTCATAACCTGGACGGTCTAGTTGCGTCCTTCTCCCCCAATTTCAATGTTTCCCTTCTTTTGGTTACGTCAAAGATGTGCTGCGAAGTAGTTATCCCTGATCAGTGTCACCACCCCCCCCCACCCAACTGCTTCTGAAATTTCCTGGTCGAGATTGCTCTCGCCGAGGAAGGAAGGAAGAGAAAAATAGGCAGTTGCCGGCTAAAAGTGTTCACTAAAACGATTTTTCCTGCCACTGATTTTTTCTGCCACTTGCAGCCAAAACGCCTCCCAACAGGTATCTGATAGACCATGCTTTGATGTTGTATTCTCAAATCCTAATGAGTTTTAAACGACCAGGATAATAATACAAATCCGGAGGTTATCATGATTTTCTTCTGGAACATAAGAGAGGAGACGAAAATAACGGGTTTCAAGGCGAACCACTGTTGGACGCACTGTACTATAACTTTACAGAGGCAGCAATTTTGACACCCTATTCATTTTGAGCTGCTACTCAATGTTTTTACCTATTCTCCACTGTTTCCATCTTCTACTCCGTAACCCACTACACCCCCCCCTTCCCATTAGGGCACAAACGCCCCTATCGAGGCCTTTTCGTGTAGTACTCCTCTTCAAATGTTTAGTAAAGAGTGAATCCGGGGTCACAAAGAAAGATGCGCTGTCGCAGTCGCGTATTGCCATTGGTGTTGTGAATAGTGAATAGAAGAAGGCAAATGAAACAAATAGTACATAACGCAGTTTCCCCAAGTTTCCGAACTTTCAAGAGACATTAAAATTTTGAGCTGGAGCGTGCAACGGTGAAGGCCGAGGACGGCTCTCTGGTCACGGCCGACTTTCGTATTTCCAAGAGGTATCCTTGTTGTGTGACGTTTTAGAAAGCAACTCTCAATTAATCCTTGAGGAGTGTGACCGATTCGTTGGGTTTCATTTGTGTTTTGGCGTGTCCCACGGGATTGCAGCTCGTGTTCCGTTGGAAATGAGAAGTTCTCTTGTGAACTTCCTTGACCTGCATGATTGTGTGGTATCGTTTTCAGCTCAAACGTGCTACTGTCCAGAATGCCGTGACGGGTGAACTAGAGACGGCCAGCTACCGTATTAGTAAGAGGTTCGTAGCTCGTAGTCCTCTGTTCTTTTCAGACTGTTTCCTATTCACTGCATCATTAATTATTCTTTGTTACCGTGTGTACTTTCTTAGTTTGTCCTTTTTTCGGGAAGTAGAACTGTTCAGCCACTGAAACTAGAGAAAATGAACCAAATACTTGTTCAGTGCATGGCTGAAGGAGGAAGAGCATGAAGTGATTGCCCGGATAAACAGAAGAATCGGCGACATGACTAATCTCAATCAGGCCACTTCGGAAGATTTGCAGGTTATTTTCATATTTATTATACTTCAAATTTACAAGTTATACTTGATGAACATGTGCAGTTGCTGAACTCCGAGTCCGAGGTAACGTTCCTGGCTGTGGTCCGAGGTAAAGTTCCTGGTTGTGACCGCTCCCGGCTCTGCAGATGCGCATCGGCGCCAGATTCGGCCACGTTAATTCTCAAGGGCAGAGCGCAATTCCTGGCCAACTTTGAAAATTTTATCCTACATTACCAAAGCGAACGCTTTTGGACCTTTCTGACTAGTGGGAAGAACTCAAGGGATTGCCGATTTTGGACCTTACCCACGTTGTGGGAAACCAGTTGATAAGAGCAGAAAATCGTTAATCCCTTGAGTTCTTCCCAAAGCCAAAGAGCGAAGTGCAGCACCTTTGACATCAGTTTCTGGTAGAAACCTATATTTGTGGTTTACTGATGGTCCCGACAATTCACCAATCATTACAAGTCGTGGGCACTATTTTGCGACATCACACACGCGTCAATCGATAATGCAAAACTTCGCCACCACGGAGGAGCGAAATCAATCTTTCATACCTTTTTTGTCGTTAACAGGGCGCCCAGGAGAAATAGGACATAGTTCCATGTTCCATGCTCGTGTCTCCATATAGTGCATGATGCGGTTTTGAAAAGGTTGGTACGACCCAAAGGATTCTTCTGGTAAGAGCATCGACACAGGGTACAAATTCGACGTAGATTTGGCTTAGAATTGATGAAAATGAATTAGGCACCTCGGAGCCCAATTAGGAGGGGCCATCCATGTGCATCACATGTTCATGTGTTGAAAAATCGCATTCCGATTGTTCCTCATGTTTCAATGCTTTCTAGATGTCAGCATACATTTCCCTATTTCGTAACAATGTGTGTGATATTTTTGATCCAACTAGCGGTAAATTGATTAATTGTGGGAAAAGGATTAAAAATGGGGTACAGATAACAAGAGCGGTGCAGTAGTGTGCAATGGGTTACGCAGAGTCAAGCGTTCACTGGGAATGTGGGGGTCATATTCGTGATTATAGGGATAAGAGCCGTGTTAAAAAAGAAAGGGTGATATTTGGTGGAACTACTCTTTTCGAGCTCCAAGGGAGTGGTTTAGGAGTGTCAGATGCAGTATGCCAAGGTGGCGCTAATGAGCAGCCCACGACCTGTTGAAGAAGGGATCTGTATTCGAAAACCCCATCGGTTGAAAACTTTGCAGAAGAAGGGGTGTGGCTTTTGGAAGTGGGGAAGGGAATCACAAGGGGCAAAACTTGGGAAGTCGAAAAAACACTTATATATACACCCTGCCCGTTCGATGGTTCCCAAGTTCAACTGCGCCGACCTAGGACTCCTTCTTTTCACTATTTGAAAGCTGAACGCCCTTCAAGTCCATTGCGGACGTCCTTCGAGTCCATTGCAGCTTTTTTGCGTTGTAAGCTTTGATTACTTTCACACAGCGATAATTTCAGGTGGCGAACTACGGTCTTGGTGGTCATTATGATCCACATTTCGATTTTGCAAGAGTCAGTTTCAATTTTTAATACTTTTGAGCTTCACTTTTCTTTTGCAGATAGCCAATTATGGCATTGGTGGTCATTATGCTCCACATTTTGATATGTCGACGGTAAGCGATGTGATTGTGCATGCTCTCTGAAGTCCCAAGTGCCGTTAGCGAATTTGGGCCCTAATAACCTTCCCTAGTTGCTTTGATAGGCCGTGTGAATTGCCGAGCAGTGTTTTGTAGGGGAAAGTTTTTGAAGTAGCGTTTTTGTAGATGTTCCTCACCTTATTCAAGTTGTGGGTTTTGTCTGGTTATGGGGAACAGCTCTGGATCTCTCACAACACAGTAAACACTTGCACCGAGAGCTTCGGAAGACCAATTCACCGTTGTTGAATTGGTCCTTGTTTCAGCACGTGGTACCGTAATAACTAATTTCTAGGTTCATTTTTGTTTTAGTATGATAACAATATTATGTTCGAACAGTAAATCGTTCCCAATGAATTCTTTGTCGTGCACTAATCCACCCCTGCCCTGTGATCTTCGTTGTTCACTGAATTTTTCGAATAAGGACCGTTTTAGAGAGGCGAAAAGGAACCTTATCGAGAGAATGGCAATCGCATCGCTACCGTGTTGTTCTATGTAAGTGTCTCAGTCTTATCAACATCTTATTTTGTAGAAAGAGGAAAAGAACGCGTTCAAGTCTCTCAACACTGGAAATAGAATCGCGACCGTGTTGTACTACGTGAGCTTCATCCATTTTACTTTTTTTTCTCAACGCTTTATCAGAGCTGCCATTTTTAAGTAATATCTTTCTGGCTGCAGTTTTATTTCAGTTCCAAAGCAACGAGAGCTGAAATTGCTGATACAAACGTGTTTTTCGGGACAATCTGAAAGAGCGGAAAAGTAGCGACCTCATAAAATTGGTTATAATGGGATTGCCTCAATCGGGCTGGGTCGTGTTTTGTACCTCGCTTTCACATTTTCGTAGCCTTCCATTGGGTACCACCTCATACAGCGTTCAACTAACGAAACGGCGTTTGTGTATGGGAGAGGGGTACGAAAGTTATTTGCCCGTGACGCTCATTAGCAAAGCTTCCGTCGACACAAGGTGCCACTTTAATGGGATTTTTACGGCAAAATGTCCCCTAGTTGTCAATCACCACAAGAGCAGAAGCAGGCCCACCTTCACTGCTCTCCGCGTTTTCGAATATAACATCATTTTCCTTAGCCGTCTAGCTCAAGGAGCCTGACGTCAACTAGCTGAGGGAGCCTGCCGTAACTGCTCCGGCCTGGAACTGCAGCATAATTTTTTTAATTGTTCAAGTGTTGTATAGCTTTCCAAATCTGGATAACGTCGTAGTCGGGAACCTCGTTGAACTCGAATCGTGCACCGTGCTCTCATGATCAGAAGGCTATTATGAAGTTTTGTGAAGGACTGGAATGTGCTCACCAATTTTGAAATGGGTGCGATTTAAGTTAAGCGAAATGTAATTAATTTCCATTCTGGATGCAGAGGGAGAATGCCCGCTTTGTTGCCTTCCTCTGTGGATGTTGAAGTTCTTCGAGAGGTCTCACTGGGTGACCTCTCGGAGAACTTTAGTATCCATAGAGGAAGGCAATAACACTGAGCACTGGGTAGGATTCTGAATATGATTAAGTGGACCTCCTCTTGTTGACTTATGTCAATTAAAGGCAAGATTCAGGATTAAATTGATGGGTAATTCCACTCAAATGTGAAAGTAGGGATGGGAGGTGGACCGCCAGTGGAGAAAAAAGGAAAGAAATCCTGAAATACACAGGAAATACGAGCATTTTGCTCCATGCTGTGGAGAAGTTCAAAAGACAGGCAGGGAGATGAGAGATAATGTGAGCGCGGAGAGCGGTAGAGAAGTCCGAGAAGAGAGAGCATAGCATCAACGTGGCGACGCAGACAAGATATCGAACGGTGGGCGGACCATGTTAAGTTTGGTGGAGTCTGTTAGAAGTCCATGGTCCTAGTGACGCGTTTCGATGTAGAAAGGTGGCGCTACCTTTGCACTTGCGTACCCAGCACTTCTAGCCATGGTAAGGGCTTCTTAGGTGGGTCTGAGCCCGAACTTTGCCTTTAAGGGAAGCTCACGAAATGATACGATCGGGCTGGACCATGCACAAGGCAACCGAAGCCTAGTATCTGAAACAGGCTTGAATTTCGTGTAGAAGTGTGAAATGTGTGGAAGCCGAAGAATCGCAGTTTGACGTCTACCACTACAAAATTTTCACGTCATAATTTGGAACTTCACATCACTTGTGATTACCCTTCTGAGTTGTGATCTGGTGATAATTACTCTGATACTGCTAGACAGCCCTGAAAAATTGTAAAGAATTCCTCCATCAGCTACTCGCTCTTTGTAGAGAGGGCGCGACTCTTCAATCACCTTCTGTTCTTGTAGTGTTTCCGTCGAAGTTTGACGCGCTACTTTGTACAATCCTGTAGACAAGCGTTGAAGAAGACTCGGCACGAAGGCATTTTTTGTGTTGTTTTTGCTGTCGAGCCGTGAATGGGTAGTGTGATTGCAGCAATATTTTATTTTTTACTCGAATTATTTTCAGGTATCGAGATAAGTGATTCACTGAAGCGGACAGGAATTCACTCGCCCTTGTGGCTTGGATGAAGACGTTCAAGAGTACTTTGTTGGAGATCTCACTCCTCATTCTCGTAAAAAGATAAGCAATTAATCTCTAGATGTCTTCCATGTTGTTTCTTGTCTGTGTTGTTGCGAAGTTTTTGTTTACCTATAAGGGCTGGGTATTAGAACCAACGTTGTTGTCTTGTCATTCTCACTGCATCTTTGATTAATACGGTTTTCGTTGTTAAAAGTGGTATGATACTTGCCTTAAATGCCTTGTTTTCTTATAAATTATAAATATAGATATCTCTAAGCTGTATCGTACATTTTGGGGATTGCTATCAGTTTAGTTTATGTTATATGTGTCTTTTGTTGCTGTTACACGCGGGTTGGTGACACGAGCACGGGCACGAAGAAGAACAATATAATCTCCTCAGAAAGCGAGAAAGTCTCGGTTTGTGCGACCAAACACCACAACTGCACGACGTTCTCGATGGTAATTCCTTGTTTTAGAAGTTGTTCATATTAATTAAGTCTGATTTGTCAAATGATAGCTGTAATTAGTGATAATCGATAGAATACAACTGCAACAGGCTAATCATTTCATTGGCAGAAATTGTTAACATTTTGTGAAGGCCGTCGCACTTGTGGTGCATGGTCTGCACCCGACACTTCTCACTTTTTGAAGGGTTGAGGGTTGTTTAGGAATCCATGCCTTCCGATTCATTTGACCGAGACGTGGGTGAAACATTTCTGGTTACCGTTGGCTCAGGTGGGTGAACGGTGAGCAATTCTCATCAATAACTTACACAGTTCACTCGAGATTTTTGTGTCTAGGAAGCATGATTAAGGGCGCGATCAGATGGCTATATTCTCTACACACGTGGTGGATGTGAGAGATTGTGTTTGCAGCGAAATGAGCCAGCAGTATATAGAGAAAATAGGAAAATATTTCGAAAGCTTTAAGTTAAGGCTTGCTTATATTTCGTTAATGTCGTGTACGTCTATTTTTTTTTGCAATGAGAGACGAGGGCGCGGAGAGGATGAGTACAAGGCGAGGGCAAGTCCTACCAAAAGAGACAACAAGACAACAAATGCTGCGGACGATGCGAACACCGAATCTTCTGCGCTGACTTTGCGATGATTAATGCTTCCTGTAGGGCGATTCGTATAGACGAAAGGTCTTTTTCTCGATTGTGCCTCTAGGTGTATAGTCTGCAGACCGGAGAAACCCTGTGCCAAGTTTCTGGCATGGATGTGCTTCTCAGTTTGTGATGGGCAGTCGTTTCGAGCGATTTTATTAACACCTATGTGTGTCAGAAGACGTCTATCACTTCCGTCCCACGACCGCATTCGCTCGGGCAGCCCATATGTACAAGGGTTGGCCACCGGCGTGAATGTCGTTAACCTTCAGTCACTGCCATTAAACACGAAAATCCAGAAGACCGAAAAATTGTAAACTTTTCTTTATGCATTATGCACTCAGTTGGTATTCGTTTATGACGAGAGCTCTTTATTTTCAATTAGCAAAATGTTATGTTAGTTAAACACAAAAAAAAACAAAAACAATCCCTAGTCGCTCTGGGTCGTTACATCTTTTTCAGAGCACGGATTTGCTTCTCGGTATTCTTGGTATCATCTGCTGTTGAGTTCATATTGAGCATGACTTCCTAAACAATGCAAACCGATTTCAAGTAGTCATAAAAATAGACGGAAGGCAGCTTACTTGAGTAGCGTGGTCGTCATCTGAAGTTGTCCCGATATCAGAATCCTTATCGATATGGAAATAGGAATTGCTAATTCTATGTTGTCATGCGAAGACGAAATATGAGATGGAACTGATATATAATTAGATATATGATCCATTGACGGCATCACGAAAATAACAGTATGCTTCTCTGGATAGAATTGATCTACTTTGCTATCTGGATGGCAAGCCTGATTTGGAGCATATATCCTTGTATTCTACTTAGTTGTAAGAAACATTCACAAAGATTCTTTTGCAAGGACTCCACCTAGTTCTACCGCTGTAATTCCTCTAGAAACCGCGCTCACATAGAAGGCCGAAAGTGGAAAGAACTCCAAGTGATTATTTAATTATTTAATTCACAATTTGATCAAAAGCCGAAGGCAATTTAGCGGGTAGCCGCTCCTCATTAGCTGGAAGTGGGCGTTCGGAACTCAAGTCTGGTGAAATTCTTAGTGCCTATATATCAACTTTTTTTGCCTTTGTCTTTTCTATTTTTTATTATGTCTTCAAGTCTTTTTTATCAGGGACACTACATAAAATCGACTGCCCAACGTATTACATATTCCTGGTTAGACAGAGGAGGATAGCGGGGTGGTAGGTTAGTCACACTTAACCAATGGGTTTCGTCCTCCCCCCCCCCTCACCTTCCTGGATATGTTCGTAAACGCTGATTGAATTAGAATAAAAAGATTTCATTGCCAGGTTGATCTGGGGATTGAAATCTTTTTATTCCAAGTCAACTCAAAGTGATAGTAACATTCATTTAATTAGTTTCCATCGATGTAAGAAGAGTGAGAGTGATAGTCATTCTTAGCAGAAATCAAAGCGACGAAACTACTCGCGCTCGAATATCTCCGGGGACGTCACGATTTAGGCTACAGAAGGCGAATTAGCTATTTCTTCCGTATAGGTCACACGACAGGTGACAAGGTGAATGTGAAGAAATTTCTTAGTTTCACTCGCTCTGTACCTAACGATGGAATTGAACGCGAAATGTAACGTGAACCGAGAAAATTGCTGTCAGTTAACATGAGTTTGCATGAATTCAATTCCTTGTAGCATACGAATAAAATGAATATTGGAAAACATTGAATTCTAGAAAAAATAAGGGTTTCTTCATCGCGATAATTAGTTCCTGCTGAAGACTCAGGAAGAAGTGGTAGCATTTAGGTTAACGTTGATATTAGGTTGGAAAGAAAGTCCTGCAACACTTTTTCAAATTTTTGATTTTAATTTTATCTTTTTTGTTTACAACTCCTGACCGGTCATATATCTACCATGAGTGTCCACCACTTGTCTTCAACGCTCAGAAAATTTCTTGATGCTCCTTTGCCAAAACCCAGCGGAGTGCGGGTCGAGAAAGGAGGCGACCTCACTTTCGAGTTGGAGTTGATCGTCTAATTATTTCGTCATCAAGATGATGATTCAAGGTTTAGGATAGGTGGCAGTCATTTGCAGCTCGAGCAGGAGAATACGCTCAAGAGAGGTAAGAAATCTTGCCGCAGCTCCAGAATTTCTTACCGGGCTAATTCCGGATTATGGCGATTTGCAATGTCATGAAAGAAATAAATATTGTCGCGGTACGAGGGCTCCTGAAGAGCTGCCTCGGCCAGCTTCTGGAGTTTCGCAGCCTACACCTCCACCTACACAACGGTGCCCATAACGATGAATGTGTAGTGGAGAGCCCTATCTGTAATGGAGTGTGCGGGACGCGTGGGCTCCTTTCGAAGGATATCTAATTAATCGAAGCGCTGGTAAAGGGGAAACCGTCGTAGCGGTGAACGACATGCCTATTGAAGCTATTGCAGATAGTGGTGGTCTTCGTTGACACGAATCCATAGTTATGTAGACATTTGTACTAGACAGTGACTCGGAGTACGGATTTGCTAGTGGTCGAGATTTTTTGAATTTTCTTGGATAACTACTGACTGCAGCACTTATATCCACCTCGTGGATTGAAGCCTTGAGAATGCTCTACCATTTGTTAGTCATAAATGTTACCTATGAATTTTTCAAAAAAAAAAATTTCAGAAAGAGTATTGCAGAACTTTCTTTCCAACCTAATATTTACGTTGACTAATGACCCTGTATAATTTGCGAACAAAATGTTACAAGGCGAACGGCAAATGGTGCATGCTTATATTGTAATGTGATCAAGGTGAGTGGGGGACCTTCGAGTTTGAGATAGATCGGTCTGAGCTGTACTTTCTAACGCAATTCTCATTCTCATTTGGTTAAGCTTCCGATTACTGCTTCTATTTATTCGTTCAATGTCCGTTCACCATAAATTTCAATAGTCACGCATAGGTATAAAGTGATGAGCGCATTGGCGATCGTGGGGATGTTAAGCATTCGCACGGGGCGTTAAGCCACCGTGTTCCTTTATGTTTCCGAAAACTGCGCGTCTGTGGAGTGTGTATAGAATAGTTCTATCGGAAGAAATCTAGCCAATTTTGAAGTCACTATCATTAATTCAAACTACGGAGCGAGAACGAAGCTCTCATGCTTCAGCTCGAAGCAAAAGAGAGCACATTCGCTCTTGCTACGTTGCCTCGTTCAGTATAATAAATTAATTGTGGCTCAACCATGTGGTCGATTCCAAAGTCGTTGTGAGATTGCATACGTCATAAGGTTTCATTTCATGACAACGGCACACATAGTTGGCATTTCGTATAATCGTTGCAGACTTCTCTGATAATGGTGAACGAGCAAATGGTTCTAAAATCAACACATCCATCATTGCTGCGTTGGAGGAGGAAGAGCTTGAAAAATTCGTTTGCACTTGGCATATTTAGTTCGTATTGTTTATGTATGTATTTCGTATTATGTCGTATTTTTAAGTATTATTATTATATATATAGATTTTATCCTACTTACTATAAAGCGCTTCGTCTGTCGTGTGTCGTGTGTCGTTCTGTATGTCTGTCACGAAATTCCCTAGCTCCTCGGGATCCACCTGGAGGGACCGGGTCAAGTGTGGGATGGGTGGGCAGGGTCTCACGTAATACAAAACACACATCAGCTAAGCGGAGCCCCGCCCACAGAGGGCGTGGAAATGAATTGTACGAAAGACCAAGATTTCGATTTCAGTGAACAAACGACCTCGAAACTGGGCCAAAAAGTGGGTTAAGGTGTGCATTGGTAAGTCACATCGAATTAGGGAGACCCACCCCGGTGGGCGGGGCGTTCTCTAAAAAAGCAGTGCTTTATGAAAAATTTCATAACTCGGTTGGGAGAAAGCCTACAGAGCAGAAACACAATTTGGTGTAAGGGAGCAATGTCTAAGGTGTTCCTGCATACATGACGTGGGCGGAGGCCCGCCCAGAATGGGCGGGGCGCGCTCTGAAGTGTACAGCATTTTCTACAAGCCCTCATAATTCGGGTCGGGAAGTCTTAAAGAGCCGGAAAAAGGTGGATAGAGGTGGGTGGAGGAGTGGAGGCCAGCTGTCATCGGTGGGCGGGGCTTGACCAAAGTGGGCGGAGTTTGCGACGAAAATTCATAACTCGGCTCCAAGAAGTCCCGGAGGCCGGGAAAAAGGTGGATGAGGTGGGTGGAGGAGTGGAGGCCAGCTGTCATCGGTGGGCGGGGCTTGACCAAAGTGGGCGGAGTTTGCGACGAAAATTCATAACTCGGCTCCAAGAAGTCCCGGAGGCCGGGAAAAAGGGAGTAGAGGTCGGCGAAGGAAAGGAGGTCAACTGCTATTAGTGGGCGGAGCACGCACCTAAGTGGGCGGAGTTTGCCAAAAGTGTCGTAATTTGGTTCCAAGAGGTCCCAGAGACCGGTGAAAAAAGGGGTAGAGGTCGGCGAAAGGAAGGGGGCCAAATGCTATTGGTGGGCGGGGCACGCACCGAAGTAGGCGGAGTTTGCCACGAGATTTATTGTCCGGAAGCAGTCCGGAGACCGAGAAAAAGAGGATAATGGTTGACGAAGAAAAAAGGTTGAAAGCCGTCGATGATGGAGCGGATAGAATTTAGCTGAGAATTCAGATATTCGTATGTATCAAGCCAAATTTGAAAATTTT